GCTTCTTGGAGTTCGAACAAGATCCATCATATTGCATATCCAAAGAAACATCATTATCTTTAAATATAATTCTATTAGTATAACTTTTTAAATTTGCATAATCTATATAACTGCAGTCGAAATGGCTAATTCCGCTTAAATCAGAGCATCCATTTACATATTTACGGGAAAGACCAAAGAATTTATTATAATCTACATTGGGAAACCAGCAATCGCGTCCTAATTTTAAATCAAGTACAACATTACCCAATTTTTTGGGTGATTTTGTGATAAACTTATGTTTGTAGGTATTGTTATGAATCCTTTATCCTCGAACTTTTTCATAATAATATCTATTTTCTTATCCATTATTGTCTCAATCGTAGAATGGCCTTGTTCAGTATTATTGTTATCTGTAAACTTTGTTAACTTCTCGGTCAAAAGCTTCATAGTGTTTTCCATTTTAGATTTATTCTTTGATATTTCTGTAAATTTTTCTTTAATATATTCAAAATCATCCAATCCTGCCATTGTATCATTTTTAAATGAAATGAGTTGTTGCAATATTTGCTGACCTATACCTTCACTGACCTCGTTCCTTATATTGAGGCTAAGATCATCCAACTTTAGTTCAATGGCCTTCCACTTCTGAGAGGGTTCCTGGGAGATTCTCTTAAAGGAATGACACAACAGAGGTAAATGTAAGTTCATATCTTGCTCATGACTGTCTCTTGTCGAAGACTCTCCGATCCAATCACATCCTAGGTTTTGCATACTACAAGGAAAATGGCTTCTAGAACAGGAATTCTGGTGAGACTCCAGATCTTTGAGGACCGTCTCTATATCGCAGAACGGACACTGGACTGGCTTGAGGGAGCAAAGATCTCGATGATAGTCAAGCTGGCTGTGTAACATCTCCAGGCCACAATTAGGACACCAGTCACTTCGACAAGGACAAATCTGTGACAAATGGTTCAACAAGTCTTTCTTACATATTTTGTCATTGCAGCCGAGTGGACAAGGTTTGATGGTATATTGGCAGAGAACTGTGTGATCCTCGGCTTCTTGGGAAGTCTTGAAGGCTTGCTGACAGCCATTCTCTGCAAATGAACAAACCGCCTCGCCTTCCTTTTGTTGCACTGCCATTTGAATTCAAAAGGATTGAATATTTATATCTGAAATGCACAAAAAAACCTTCTTGTACATATCAATAAAATTTATAATTGTAGGAATAATAGATGGTTAATCACACACACACACAAGCCTTTTTATTGGGGCATCCAGCCCTATACATGATTCACCTCTACAGGATTTAGCAAAGGAAGATATTTTAAAAAGTAAAAACTAGAATACAAGAAGTAATAAGGAAAGAGAGAAGAAAGAAAAAACAAACAAAAAGAAATATAACCATATATACAAAAAATAAACATACAGAGCAAAAGGAACCATACATGATTAAATATTTAAATTAAAGTACCAATGTTTAGAATATGTCAAGGTTAGGATATCATTGAGAGGGCTAGTGTGGAATCAGCCGCATTCAATCTTCGTTTTCTTCCTCCAAGCAAACCACGACATTCGGCGAATCCATTATTCTCCAACGGACATTGACAGCGGCCTTGTAGAATTTATATAAACCGAGGGAGAGACCCTGATCAACCATCAGTGTGTTCATCCAGCTGCAAATTTGTTGGCAGTCAGGTTGAGACCAGGGTAAGTCACCCAAAATTTCTTTCCTCTGTTTCTCTAAGCAAGAGCATCCAAATATTATATGCATAATTTCGTCTTGAATTCTGTTTTTACACAGATCGCAAGTTAGAGTCAAATCAATCTTCCAGCGCTTTGAACGATTTTCTGGGAAGATCGTCCATAGGAGTCTCAGTTGTGCAAAAAATATTTTAATTGCTAGAGGAATAGTTGTGAATAAATATCGTTCTGCTGTTATTGAATATTTTAGGTAATATATGGTTAATAAATAGCATTGTTTCCAAAATTTAAATATACATAAACCAAACAAGGATACAGCTTTTAATATTTATAGGTGAGAGCTCAATTACATCAGCGAAGTCATTGTTTGCTGTTAACTATTGAAAACCTTAAATAAAATATTGATTATGCGATATAAATTGTCTTCAAAAACAATAGTAATAAATGAATATATATTTCACAATTTATAAACGTTAGTCTATATGTGAAAAATAGTACAAATGTGATATTGTTAGCGCCCGAAACGCGTCCGCAGTTAGCTTTTCTTGATTAATCAAGAATGGGTATTTGGCTAATTTTGGAATAATTAAAAATCAACGAGAATAGTTGATATTTTTTCCGATAGATGGCGTAAGCCATCAGCAACTTTCAGTTGCACGATAAGGAGATGCCTTTTTCATAAGTTAGTTTATATATTACATACCTTAACCTGTAAAACCATCCATCTCAACCACTTTTCCTGTTATTTAATAACTAGCGGACGTACCCGGCTTCGCCCGAGGTTTTACCCGAGTAAAGGTTTGTCTAGAGAACATTTGTTAAAACAATTCTCTAAAAACTTATTTAAAAAAAGAAGATATATTTTGATAATTTGAAACTCGTAAATTTGAATCTCTCGATAAAGTGAACATTTTTCCCGGTCCCTGTGTGCCGTGTCATCCTGAATTTTGTCTTTCATAATTTTCTACATTACAAAATCATCGTTTTATCTAGTGAACATTTTTTCCCGGGCCCTTGAAAAATACTCGATAAGGTTGAATATATTCATGGTCGTTTATGGAAGATGGACGAAGTTCCCGGAGGTCATCTTGGGCAAGCTCCCGCGAGGCTTTCCCGCACAGCTGTGTCACCAACTCTGCTCTGATTGGTCGGTGGGTACTTGGAATGTCGGCCGGCGGCCGGGCGAATCCATTCTCTAACGGGGTGGGGCAGAACTAAGCCTATCTCCGTTGCAAGGTGGCGCTGCTTGCGAGTTAAAGCTACAATTCTGCAAATAACTCTAAGGATATTATAGATATTCAAGATATTATTTTTCGTAAACCTTTCCGGGGATATGCCTAATAATATCCCAAAATTTCACGGCGATTGGATGTACGGTTTTTGAATCTATAGAATACACACAGACCACAGACAAACAGACAAACAGACAGACAGACAGACATTCAATTTTATATATATAGATTTAAATTCTTTCTCTACATAAGAAAACCCTTTCAATGTATCTAACGTTTTGTGAATATTCTAACCATTTCAAATTGTAACAAATGAATGAAGAAAAGGTAAAATGAAAAATACAGATCTAACAATGACTGAAGTAAGTCGGTTAAATACACCTGGGTGAGAAAATGGACGGGTTGAATAGCTAAAATTATTGGTTTCATTCTTTCTCTCTTCCATCCAAACGTGTCCGCCACTTTGTTATGACATATCATCATCTGATTGGTCTCCCAAATATGTTTATACTCCGATTCATGCAAGATATAACAGGAGAGCAAACAGAGTTTTTGCCATTGCAGAGAGTGGCGATTGAAAGATTCAGCATGAAATGAGCAGGATATACAGTCTAGTCTCGACTTCACCCTTATTAATCTCCCATCTCCGTAAGGATTTCTCAAAACTTTCCTTCAAGATTTTTTTAAACCTCAAATTACCAATGGTTTAATAACCACAATTTTATCGTTTTTGTTTAGGGGCTTCTGTTTTCCTAAATCCATTGTATGTCATGTCTTCTTTAAAAAAAGAAGCAGCTTAGATCTTGAATACAAATCTGAATAATAGGTCCCTATAAACTGCCTTCCTATAAGGGATATATTTCTCCCTTATAAGTGGACGTTTGAGATCGTGACATTTATGAGATGCATCATCACGCCATCTTTTAAAAGAAATGTTTTTCTATTCAAATTAAAGGCAAGTTTGTTTTAACATTACAATAAAATATAATGATCTTTATTCTACTGCATATTCCTTTTATACAAAATGATGATAAAAAGAGTATAAAATCAGTCATTTAAAATAAACAACTTAACCTATGAGTTTTTTTCACAGTTGATACAATATTTAACTATTATATTAAAGAAAGGTTCACTAAAAATTTGATTAATATATATGTACACAAATTTAACAAATTAAGAAAAATCACATAAAGGCCACGTCACACTACACGATAAATTTTTGGAAATCTGGTGAACTGATTATTTTACTTTCATATAGAGTAAAACCAGGATAATTCTAACGTCTTTAATTTGAAAATGTCTTTAATTCGAATATTTATCTTGGTCCCTAGAATTTCCTATAGAAAATATTTCCATTTTTGATTTGAATATTTGTATAATACATTTTTTGTTCGTTGCACTTTAAATTATTCAAGTTCGGTTGTAAATCTTTGTTAAACTAGACGAATGGCCCGGGCAACGCCCGGGTTTTACCCGAGTGCGTCCCGCCCCAAACTGTGTGTGTCTTGAAAATATAAAAATAAAAATGTGAACGGAAAAATATGTCCAGGGTAGCCTAGTGGTCATGGCATCTGCCCGATAAGCGGAAGGTCGTGGGTTCGATTCCCATCCCTTGACACTTTTTTTATTTTATCCATTCTGACCAAAATCTATCCGTGAACTTCACACAGTGAACTTCACACAGAGAGAATAAGGCAATTATATAAGTAGATAATCCAAATTGTGCCTTATCACACACTATTTTTTTATTTGGCCTTATTACCTTGTGTTTATAATCTATGACGTAATGCCGGCGCGGCGCGCGCCCGTTGGCTGCTGGCGAGCACGTGACCTCCCTGTGCGCGCGCATCCGTGACAGAACCGGCCGGCCCATGACGGTCGTGACTATATATATAATAGACGAATGGCCCGGGCAACGCCCGGGTTTTACCCGAGTGCGTATATATTTTTAAAATGTTTTAATTAAAATACTATTTGTTACAATTATAAATTGGCGCCATGGATGTCTCTCTTGTGAAACGTCCCGCCCCAAACTGTGTGTGTCTTAAAAATATAAAAATAAAAAGGTGAACGGAAAAATATGTCCAGGGTAGCCTAGTGGTCATGGCATCTGCCCGGTAAGCGGAAGGTCGTGGGTTCGATTCCAATTCCTTGACACTTTTTTTATTTTATCCATTCTGACCAAAATCTATCCGTGAACTTCACACAGTGAACTTCACACAGAGAGAATAAGGCAATTATATAAGTAGATAATCCAAATTGTGCCTTATCACACACTATTTTTTTATTTGGCCTTATTACCTTGTGTTTATAATCTATGACGTAATGCCGGCGGCGCGCGCCCGTTGGCTGCGGGCGAGCACGTGACCTTCCTGTGCGCGCGCATCCGTGACAGAACCGGCCCATGACGGTCGTGACTATATATGTTGATGGATAATAATAATAATATAATAATAATAATAATTATTATTATTTTTTTATTTTTATTTTTTTTATTTATTTATTTGACATTTATTTGACACAGATTGATTAACTCCATAAATAATTGGGAAAAAAATGTTTAATTTTTGTTGAAAGTCTAAAAATCTATATGTCATATAGATTTTTAGACTTTCAACAAAAATTAAACATTTTTTTTCCCGATTATTTATGGAGTTAATCAATCTGTGCATTGAGGGGCTCATATGTTGATGGATGGATAATAATAATAATATAATAATAATAATTATTATTATTATTATTATCATTAGATAATGATAATGATCATAATGATGATGCGCGCGCATCCGTGACAGAACCGGCCGGCCGGCCAGCCCGCCCATGACGGTCGTGACTATATATAGGGATGGCAATTTATATAGTTTTGCATCTATAAAATTCTAAAGAAAAACATATAAGCACTCAGATTGAATTTCTACAAGAAAAGCATCTTTATTAAAACAAGAACATTAAGCATCCAGGGAAAATTACTTTTTAAAATATTTTTTATTTAAAAATCTCTCAAACTTTCAGGCAAGAAAGCCCTTCTATGGGAGAAAATATCTTACATCATTGAAACGCCAATAAAACGCCGTAGAAGGGCTTTCTTGCCTGAAAGCTTGAGAGAGTTTTTGAATGAAAAATATTTTTAAAAATAAACTTTTCCCTGGAGACTTAATGTTCTTATTTTAATATTGATTCTAGGGATTATTTCATCAATTTCATATTTATTATTACTTCTTTAAATATTTGCTATCAACTTAAATTATCTGAATTCAACAATAAATATAGGTAATATAATAAACTGTAGTTCTCATCCTATAAACTTAAAAGTGAAAAGACAAAGAATTAGGTACCTACCTCTCGACTGCTAGGAAGCAATAACAAAATGGCGAGCGCGATATAATGTAGATTCATAATTGATAATTAGAACCTGGATAAGATAAAAGTCCGGTTGCATCCATTTTTCTATTCAACATATTCAAAATGATTATAACTCCGCCTTTGCCGGTCCCAAGCCCGGATGAAAAAGGAGGAGGGGGAGCAATAACAAGCTCGCCAAACAAACCTGGGCTTAGCTAGCCCGGCTGAGAGTACCCTATATGGGCTCCTAATCCAGGGATACAGGATGAGCAGCGTTTGTACTCCATGTCAGAGGCGTTCATTTCTTTTGGAGCTTAGTCGGCCTGCCACTGAGTAGTGCTCCCAGTCTTAATGACAAAGCAGACGCATTTTACCTCACCCAGTCATGATGGTTGTCAAGTCTCAAGCTCTAGAAGCTTGATACCCTAATATGATTGAGCGGAGAGATAAGGAAGAAGAAAACAATGATTATAAAATAGAAAAAAATATGAAATTGTACGGAGATTGTTAAATTAAGAAATATGTCTCCTTTTTCTCGTGGAGATGAAAGTTGCTGAAGGCTTCGTCATGTGTCAGAATAAATATAAACTAATCTTTGGGATTTTTTCATTAATCTGGAAAAATATCTACTTGATTGACTATAGGATCCAATTGCTTACGCATTTTAGACTGATGACCCTCGTCAATATTGAATGAAAGCTGTTCCTCGATGATCAGTTCCGGTTTTAAATAACTTTTTAGGTACAGTTCAACAAGTTCAACCTAGTTCATAAATGTATAAACAATATTTATGTACAGGAGCCATACATATATCATAAATATATTAAATATTATCAGCGTTGCAGATATTTTATATGGACCCAGAACAGCAGCTCTACACACACAAGATAGAGGACACTGTACCTACTATGAAAGAAATGTACGGAGATATCTGAGACTCTTTATTGGACATAATAACATCAGATATTTTACATGGACCCAGAGTTGCAGCTTTACGCACCCAAGATAGAGGACATTGCAACTGCTGTGATAGAGATGTATGGAGACATCTAAGGCTCTTCATTAGACACGAAACAAACAATGTTATATACAATATGTGTATAATATAAATCCTGTAAATTTCATCTGTCAAATGTTTTCTTCAGTTAACATCTATTAATATAATATATAAATAAGCTAGTTAGATTAATGTTTGGATATTGATGATTTTTCAATTATCTGTTTTACTGGTCCTATGTTAATTTACATGTTAATTAATGATCTGAATTTTTTCGTTATGATGGAACAAAACTGCACTTCTTCGCTGATGACACAAATATTCTATTCTCTGCATATAACGAAGAAACAATTTACAAAAACTTCTCGAAGCATGTTTATATGAAGATATTGTTTAAAAGAAAGCTAATATAAATGAACCCTCAAAATTCAATTTCAATACCTTTCTCGCACCCAAGAAATTAACCAAATAATTAAGGTTTATTAATGTACCATCAAGTATAAGGAGAGTTATCGGAATCTAGAAGTAATTTGGACCATCATAACTCCTTCCAAAAACATATTGACAAAAGGATCAACTTTGTAAATGCAGAAATAACCAGACTATCCTTGTTGCTTATTAAAAAGTCAAATTTTCACTAACTTTAAAAAAATAACATTATATACTTCACTCAAATAGAAATATCTTGGGTAGAAAGTAAACATGTTTATTATTTGATAATTCAACGATCTGAACCATAAGACTCCATGATTTATGGACTTTATGACAATGGACCAAAGAGGTCTCACCAGATAACCTCTTTGAGTGCATGAGAGCCTGATAACAGAACCTATATTCCAGCCCTACCAAGATTGTGAATTTTATCTAAGAATTTCTACTTCATGACGTATAATTATTCGATGGTATATTTAGAGGTGTTTATATTTTCACAAAATTATTTTTAAAAGAGATACGTTATAATCATCGTAATTTCTAATAATTATCCCTGTATATTTATTCAAAATGAGCCTTTCTTATGTGATAGTTAAATTTATGGCTGTCGCGATATTTTTAAGAAACTATACGAATCATTAATTAGACCCATTTCTACCTATTTATATCCTAATTTTATTTATTGCCATCATATTCACATTCAAAAATTAGTAATCTTTGAAAATAATCCCTGAAAAAAAGAATAATAAGTGTCCTCATTTATGTAAGAAATTCAAGAATCATAAATGATTTTCAAAATTGAAAATATTGATACGGCGCTACAGTGTCAAAGATGGTCAAATATACACACGGGATGAGTAAGAATCTATGTTGGACAATTCTTCATTTACCTTCGTGTATTATGGAAAACAAGTAACATACTTCATCCAACAGCCACTGTCAAAAACAGGTAAATTGACATCACTGGTGGCTAGATGGGGTTCTTCATTACTGATTGGTAGGATTCTCAGCCAATCGCGTTCACCTTCACTATGTAGCCGTTGATCAAATGTTGCTGCTAGAGATAAACGATATTCTTTCGTAGAATCCAGGTAATACAATACACGATGTGACCCATTAAAGACAACTCTCAATTCGCTTGCCATACATTTTATTCTGAAAAGAATGTACCTAATATGTTCTGCATCACCTCACACCTACACAGTAAGCCATAACAAATATACTCATATAGACAAACAACTTTGACAATATGCAACTGAGAGATTGGAATTCTTGGAATGCATTGTAACTGTTGATGAAATATGATATCAACATATACATCTTTCAGACCAACTGAATATTTATTCATTTTTAGCTAGAATTTGGCAACAAAGTAACTGATAACTGCACTTTGTTCTTGCTTTGATTCTCTCCTAACTCGAATTAGAGAGTTTGACCATATGCTACTCGCGGATCATGCTGCAACTGATTCATTAAGATAAATTTTACTTTGAAATTCTTCTTTCTACATCAGTATAGGTATTACGTTTTTTTTTTTTTTTTTCAAATGAACAAAAATCTTGATATTATATATAATAATATTCGAAAAAAAAAATTTAATATATAACTAGCAGATGTACCCGGCTTCGCCCGGAATAAAATCAATATTAATTGGTTCCCTCGGTTATTGGAAGTTAAAGGAATAGTATCTTGCCTTGGAATTGCATCATTATTCTTGTCTTAAATAAATTGCCGTGTCATCCTGAAATTGTTCTTTCCTAATTTTCTACATTACAAAATCATTGTATCATCGTGATAATATTTAGAGCAGATTGTTGAATTATAACAGATAAATTAGAATATTTATCTTGATTATTTTTAGGCGAAAAGTTATTTCAAAAATTTTATTTGCTAGAAACCTTCCCAGTACTATATTAAATAACTTACCAAAGTTTCATGGCGTTCCAATGAGTGGTTTGGTCAGGCATAAAGGACAGACAAACACACACACACATACATTCATTTTTATATATACAGTCTACTCTCGTTATAACGCCACCATCCGGATTTTGGAAAAAAGCGGCGTAAGGTGAGGGTGGCGTTGTTGTATCGAACACGTTTAAAATGTGAAATTTAAAGATACAATAAATTATTTATAACAATTACTAATAACAATTTATACTCTAAAAGTCAATATATAGAATGCCGGCATTAATTAATTAATATGATAAATAGAAAGCATTAATTAATTATTTATTCATAAAAAATAATTACATTTTCTTGAAGAAGTCTGTGATCACAACTTGTGTTTTCTCTCCCTCACTTATGGCATAGACACGGTGTAACAAATCCACAGATAGATTGACGTCGTCAGATGTTGCTCTCTTGGAGTGCTCAAGAAACAACA